ACTCGATCCGGGTCCCGGGATGGACGGTGCGAGGATTCGACGTATGTAATTATCGACCACCCTCGTTACGTCGATCCGTCCGGCCCTCCGGCCTCCTCCTCTTCGTCCCACCCCCTGCTTGGGCCGTATACCTCTCTCCTTTGCTCACCGTACGTGCCGTCGCATGCGCCTCCAGTAAGAATCGACTTATCGATGCGGATTGATTTAAAGCGGTACCGGTCGCGACGCCAGATCACGGCCGAGATAAGGCGGGCGAGATGGGAGAGCAACTTTTCCAGAAATTTCGACCGCCAGAGGGCCAGGGGATACTCCTGTGTCGAGGAGGGGGTGGGAGTCACGAGGTGGCACGTTTTATGGAACTGTTACACCTACACTGAGAAAAAAGAAAAGTCGGTTGCCTTAAAGAAATATCAGATTGGATAAACAGAATTTATTTAAATCAATAAACATACATCTTTCTTCTGAAAAAATAATTGTTTCTTGCAGTCGTACATGGTTATGGCAACAATATATATTTGTCTCAGTTAACTAATCCGTTTTCTTACAGTAGGTTTATACGTAGATTGAGGGAAAATTTTCATTTAACCGGGAGAACATTTTCTTAAGTCAAAGGAATATTATTTGACTCAGAAAAAGGTCTATTCCAAAGAAATGTTCCATCCAATTTGCCCGAGTTCGTTTGAGTCAAATAATTATCCTTTTAATTAATAAAGTATTTCTTCGGTACTATTCAAAGACGTATTTCTTTTGGTCAATGATACTTTTTTTCTCAGTGTATATTGCAACGTTTTTTATTCAGAATTGTGACGACTTATTTGAGGTTATTCGAGTCGAATAACGAATCATTCTTTGACTTGTAAAAATATTTCTCTAGTTAAATACATTTCTTTTTTTCTTAGTGCAGCGATTGTTTCAAGGCGTTGCTAGTGTTCAAGGAATACGAGTTTTATCAAGTTATATTCGAATTCTATTTATCCTTATTCAATTTCTCTTTTTAAGTTATTATAAAGTAGAGTGTAGAGTTAATATATTTGTGGGGTTAGGAGGGAACCATGTCGCCTTGATTTTGAAATTACGCGGGATGTCGATTTACGACTGACGTATGTCCCAAAGGGAGAAATTTATTTCGCCGGATTCGATAATAAAAAGCACGTTGAGCGGGTTTTACGTCGGCGTACAAATTGTAATAATAAAGCCGGCCATCTTTTGTACCAAGGATTTCCGTGTGACCGTTTTCTGCCATGACCATGGTAATACGATGTCGCCGACCGGATGGACAGAAAATAGCCCCGCGTGGAGCGTTCCGAGTTGAATGAAAGTGAGAGAACACGGGATCGCGAGCATACACACCGCGCCGTGTGAACGCAGAGAACGTACGACTCGTTTCTGGATTCACGAGCGACCTAGTCTAGGTTTTTCGAAAAATTTCGTTCACGAGAACCGACGCGACCGGTAACCCGGCGCCGGGACCGGTTGGTTAGATCCAGTCTATCGAGTACCCTCTGGCTATGAATGAGAGGACCTGGAGGTATACTTCATCGTCACGCAGGTTACCTCCACTGATATCTACATTAAAACAAAAAAAAATATTCCACCGAATTATTTGAAAGTGTACAACGTGAATATGAACGCCCTATAGAAGGCCGCGAATTTAAACACTTTTGTAGAGATTTTTAAGAATGTTTGTAAATAAAATTTCGATGGTGTCGGAACCTTTCCCAAGGCCTCCGTATTCACGTGATAAATTTTCGAATGAATCGGTTTACACAGTTAGGTGAAAAGTCTCATATGAATCGTGAGATGGTCGCTTTGATATCGCTTTAGGAAATCGCTCTTTCCAGGGAATATTGCAGAGGATCGGACGCGCTCTAAAATTGTATAGAAAATTCAGGAAATGATTATAAACAATTTTTGAGTAAATGCAATTTTATGAGCGCCGGAACATTCCTTAAGACCTCCATATTCACATAGTGAAGTTTCAAACGAATTAGTGCATCCAATTCGGAGAAAAGTTTCATATGAACTGTGAAGCGGCCACTTTGATATCGCCTTAAGGAATCCCCCTTTGCAGGGAACCCTTCAAAAAATCGGGCGCTCCATAAAATTGTATAGAAAATTCAGAAAATGTTTACAAACAATTTTTTAATAAATGATATTTTATGAGCGCCGGAGCCATTCTTAAGGTGATATGAAAGTGTGATATATACGTACCAAAAAGACAACATATTTATAAAACTTTTCTCCAAACTGGGTGTACCGAATTATCTAAAATATTAACACGATATTATGGAAGCTCCAAGGAAGAGCGCGCTGGTCGTAAAGTTTCATTTTTCGAAAGAAATTTTGCATTTATCTTGGACAAGAACCAAAAAAGATATTTTTTGTCGAAAAATTAAATTTCACGCGTTAAATTAATTTTCAGCGCGTTCTTCCTTAGAGCCACCATAACCACGTGTTAAAGTTTCAGATAATTTGGTGCACCCAGTTTGGAGAAAAGTTTTATAAATATTTTGACTTTTTGGTACGTATATATCACACTTTCATATCACCTTAAAGCGTCCATATTCACGTGGTAAAGTTTCAAACGAATCGATACATCCAGTTCGGAAAAAAGTGTCATACCGACCATGAGGTAGCCACTTTGATATCGCCTTAAGGAATCCCCCTTTGCGGCGAACTTTTCAGGGAATCGAACGTTTCTCTTGAGAGGTGCGAGCTCGCAAACTGACTTCCGAATTTGCTGGAAGATCGCGTGCAGACTTTTGCGAGATTTCATTGGCAAGGGACCGAGACATGACCAGTTATATGGCGATCCGGACCGGTCGCGGTAAAAATCCGGTCCCTGAAGTCTTACCTACCGGGGATGAATGAACATCGGTGCGTGCTCCATGAGGAACGTCTAATTTGCCGCAAATACAATGTATATAGTACACCGACAGGTTCTTTCCATACCTTCGGCGAGATGTCTCTTCGCCCAGCCTTGGAATGAAATCTGTTTTTATTTCTTGCGGTTGAACTATCGCAATGCCGCGCACTCGAGCCCGCAAACAGGTGCCTCGATTCGACTCTTCACTATTAAAAATCATAAATTTCATGTAATTTAAGGGGACGTGAAAGCAGCATCACAGGTTAATCGTTCATGACACTTTTATCCGAACTGAGTGTACCGAATCGTTTCAAACTTTACAACGTAAACATGGAGGCAATAAAGGAGGTCCCAACACCCATAAAATTTCAATTTTTTTAATCTTGCATAAACATGAAATTTCATGGGTGTCAGAACATACCTTATAGCCTCCATATTCACGTTGTAAAGTTTGAGACTATTTGGTACACCCAATTCGGAGAAAAGTTTCATGAACACCTTTTGGGGTCACTTTCACATCCCCTTAAGTATTCAATCTTTCACTGAAACTAACAATTTGTGATGATCATTTATATTAAAAACATGAACGAGGCTCGAGTTTTCTCACGTCTTGTCGGAATTGGTCTACACTGGCTGTAGAATTAAAATAAAAATAGATGTACGTGTATATTTTAAATTTAGTATATCGAGGGTTATGCCCTGCATATAAACTCTGGGTACATGATGGGTGAATTTATTACCGGTTTCTTTTTTTACCACTGTAAGTCGAGCCTCCATCTTGCCCGACTGAAATATGCAGAAGCGTACGCTCGGACTACGGAATACCCGCGCAGTTTTCCCCGTGACATGTCTCGATAGTTCCTACGAAAGTATTCCCGACTTTTTCCACTTTCACGTCGCGTGGTGCAGGCTGCATACCGGCAAAATAAAGCAAGAATCAAACTCGGGGAAACACAGCCCTAGTCTGTAATGGCTGTTTTCCTGTCGAAGCTCAGGCGACGTAGAAATACCGCCACTCCTATGCACTGCCCTTACATATTCCCAACTTACGTAAAAACGCTCAGAAACTTCACTCGCTCGACAAATTAAGGGCTAGTCTTCCGGTGATTCGGGAATGTCTTTTTTTTTTCTAAACAAAATTTAATAGAACATTTAATGCACTGCCGTTAGATATTCCCAACTTACGTAAAAACACTCGGAAACAACTCATACGACGAATTAAAAGCGAGTATTCCGGTGATTACGGAATGTTCTTTTTTTCTTTTTTCACAAAATTTAACAACAGTAGCTAGGAGAAAATTGCAAATGGCGGAAGAAAGGGAAGGAAAGGTGAAAACGGTAGAGTGAAAACGGTAGAGTGAAAACCATTCGATTGGTCGCTAGGGGATAGAATTGGCCAAGGCGAATTTTTTGCAAAATATTCCAGTGACTCAGGCGAGTTATTTTTCATAAGCAGTAAATTTCGAACAATCTCTAGTCGACTAAGACGAATTTCTTGCAAAATTTCTAGTGAGCGAGTTATTTATCAGAAAAAGAGCCTAAAATCGCGAACATTTTCCAGGATAAAACAGGAAAAACGGCCAGATGAAAACCACTCGATCAGTCGATCACTCAGAGGGTGGAGTCGGCCAAGACGCTTTTAAGGATACCCCCGAAAGCCTCCAGGGGTGGGAGAGCTGCCAAGAAGCTCCAATCGCCGCGAGAATCCGCGAAACCGTTCAAGAACGGTTCGAGCGAATCGCGAGTCGCGGCATTCGGCGTCAAGCGGGTCTCTCCTAACCCCACGACATGTCGTACGAAGAAGTGCGGCGGGATCGATTTCCATCCGAACAAGCCGAGTGAAAAAGAAGGACCGAGGTTAGTATTCGCCTCCCTCGACCGTCCGCGTCTTCCCGGGAGAAAAAAGAAATCACCTCTAGAAGCGGAAGAAAACGACGAAATTCCAATGAACGACCCATTCGCGCGGAATCGCTGAAAAGAAATCGCAAGTCTCTCCATCCTCGTTACATTTCAGGTCGCCAAGTCCCTAGGGAGCGACGTGGTGTTCCTAGATCTTAATTACGGCCGCATCACCCAACCGGTCGCGAGACCGGTAAGGTAGGGACCGACAAAGAAGAGAGGGAAAGAGACTTACCGGCCGCTCTTGGTGATGACCATCTCGGTGCCCAGCTTGTGGAACTTCTCCCAGAGCTCCTTACCCTCGAGGGTGACCTTGGGGTCGTCCACGACCCCGTCCTCCTCCGGGTGATGAGGCGGTGCCAGGGGCTGGTGCGGCCCCGCCAAGGCGTGATGAGTCGCCAAGGGGTGGGGGGACGCGTGCAGCATGCCCGGGGGCAGTGGGGGCCTCAGGGGCCTCATGCCCGGCCCGCCGGGAGCACCTTGGTGGTGCAGCGCCGCGGCCGCAGCTGCCAGCACGGCGGCGTGGGCCTCCTCGGGCGTGTGGGGCCCTAGGCCCAGACCTGAACAACCGATGCGAGCCAGTTAGATCCGAAACTACTTCACGCTGGATACTTCTACGCGACGTAATATCGGAAATGTGAACGCGTGAAGAAATAATTAGGGTCAGGTCCTTTGGATGGAACCGCACTGTTAACCCTTTCGTTACCTTGGACGAGATATCTCGCGACCCAATACTGGCCGATTAANGAGATATCTCGTCCAAGGTAACGAAAGGGTTAATATTACGCGGAGGCATGTCCGATTTTCGCGATACTTGCGGACCCGCATGTCCGATTTTTAAGACGCTTACATCCCCGCATGTTCGATGTTTGTCATGCTTGGATACCCGCATGTCCGATTTTCATGACGGTAACATCCCCGCATGTCTGATTTTCATGACGATTGCATCCCCGCATGTCCGACTTTCGTGATTATCATGAAATTTAGTAACCATCTTAGAAATTTGTATTAGATCGATGAAAAAAAAATTGGTCTAATCAAAGATTAATATCCGCTGTTCGAGTACCACCCGAAATCCGGAGATTAACTTAATTAACGTAGTCACGCGGTACACGCGTCCGTAATCATGAAAATGACCTAAGTCATTTCCGTCGTGTTGGAAAGCAAATTCTGCGTTCTTTGTGAGACACCGTATTCCACTTGTTTAACATCAAGAAACCGCGCTCGTAGCGCAATCACTCTCCCCGGACCTCCATGAAACTGAAGTAATTATGCCATGTACCAATAATTGTAAAAATTCGAGGCCGAGAATATCCCCGCAAATATAAGGGTTTCGCGACATCGAACCGAAACTTTGCCAGTGGCACGTAACAATGATAAAGGATTATCAGTGCCGAATCGCGATCTCTGTGGAACAAGTGCCTTCGCAAACCTCGTAGCTCGGAATGGCGGCATCGTTCTTGAGATGTGCGAACCGCGCTTAAAAATAGGATTGACGCATTCGTCCGCGGGTCAATAGAGCAATCGATACTAACGATCACTTTCGAGCGTTGCTGCAGGACTAAGTATCGCAAGTGCGCTCGCAAGAGAGAACGACGAGTATTTCAATTTCGTTCCGATTACCTCGAGGCGCGAGTCGCGGCGGAATTCTTTCGACGGAGAGGAACCTTTCCGAGGACGGTAACACACGAGAGGGTCGAGATTCCATTCTCGCGTACGTCGATCTTCGAATTCCGGTGATACTTGGGGTCTCTGCCTCTCCGGCTGTCTTTCATATGCGGCTGGCCGCGGTCGCCATCTTGCGTGCTCCGAAGAGGCGCCTGCCAAGATTCACCTTCCTCGCATAAGAAATTCCCTTTCCTTAGAAAAGAAAAGAGAAGGGAAAAGGGTCGCGATCTATTCGCAAATTCGACTCCTTTTTTTTTATCTTCATTCCTCTCATCTTTCAAGAATTTGTTGCACTCCTCGGAAATGGACTTATATCATGAAAATTTTTAACTACTGAGACGATACTGTTGGAAAAAATGAAAAAAATTTCCGACCGCCATCTTATGTGTTCCGAAGAGACGCCTGCCAAGATTCACCCTCCTCGCATAAGAAATTCTCTTTCCTTAGAAAAGAAAAGGAAAAAAACAGGATCGCGATCGATTCGCAAATTTGGCTCCTTTTTTCTACCTTCGTTCCTCTCATCTCTCAAGAATTTGTTGCACCCCTCGGTAATGGACTTATATCATGAAAATTTTTAACAACTGAGAAGATACTGGAAAAAATGAGAAAAATTTCCAGCCACCATCTTGCGTGCCCCGAAGAGACGCCTGCCAAGATTCACCCTCCTCGCATAAGAAATTCCCTTTCCTTAGAAAAGAAAAGAGAAGGGAAAAGGGTCGCGATCTATTCGCAAATTCGACTCCTTTTTTTTTATCTTCATTCCTCTCATCTTTCAAGAATTTGTTGCACTCCTCGGAAATGGACTTATATCATGAAAATTTTTAACTACTGAGACGATACTGTTGGAAAAAATGAAAAAAATTTCCGACCGCCATCTTATGTGCCCCAAAGAGACGCCTGCCATGATTCACCCTCCTCGCATAAGAAATTCCCTTTCCTCAGAAAAGACAAGGAATGAAAAGGATCGCGATCGATTCGCAAATTCGGCTCCTTTTTTCTACCTTCGGCCCTCTCATCTCTCAAGAATTGATTGCACCCCTCGGAAATAGACCTACATCTGATGAAAATGTTTAACTACTGAGACGATACTGCTGGAAAAAATGAGAAACATTTCGTCTCCCGGAATTACGTTAAATGGGAGCGTTTATGTAATCACTGTGTGTTTGAATCAGAGTAATTAGAAAACTTTTCTTTAAATTCTTAAATTATTAAGGTTTTTTCTTATTATACAGGAATATTTCATTATTGCGACCATATTTCTGGTAAAAGTGAAAAAAATTAGAGTGCTTAAATTATAAGTTTTTTTTTTATTATACTGGAATATTTCATCATCGCGACATCATTTGAAAAAATAAGAAAAATTGCATTAGCTGGAATTTTGTTTAACGGAAGTATTTATATTCGTATTTAAATACTGTATTATTGTAATTGTACTGAAATTATTAATACTTTTTAGACCATGTGCTGTTCGCAAATATCGAGGCCAAAAGAAAAGCACGCTTTGAATATTCCTAAATATTGGGGACACGGATGAAAGAAATACAGTTTGGAAATTCATGCTGTAGATGACGTGTTCCCGAATGTTTATTATTTAAATTTTTGGGACGATTTTCACGTGACTGAGTCAATGTATTCCTCGATTTGAAAATGGATTCCATGATGTTGGATTTTCAGACGCTGGTCAAAATGGTTCGTCTTTCCGTGTCAGTACTCTCCGGGAAATAATGAATTCATCGTAGGCTTGTAAACGATCCATTCCTGGTAAAAAAAAAAAAAGAAACGCATTCACTTAACCGTATTCATAGGTACTATTATCATTACCGGCTCATTGAAACGGTAGCTCGTTACCGCTCTAACTATGGAATAAAACGATATACTTAGCACATCGTAATTCCCGTTAATCGCAAACGTGATTCGAACATTTATGTCTTTTTTCTGGAGCCGGTGAGGAAATGGAAGCTGTGTTAAGACGTACTTGTCATACGCCCATCCCGGTTCGTGATTTCAAGGAAAATTAAATGATTTACGACTGAATTGCAGGTTTCCGTTAATCCGAAGGTATGAATGATTACACGCGTCGTGAGCAATCACTGCGTGTGATTTTCTCCGTAAACGCGGCAAAACTATACGTAATGATATTATATACCTAATTACGAATAAGTTATCAGCTAAAGATTACCTCATCGCCGTAGCATGTTCGACTAACGAGAAACATAAACCTTCTAATAAATAAATAAATGTTAATCTTTGAAGTAGACGATAATAAAGTGTAAATATGGCGACGTATACGCGTCGCCTAACCTCATCGAGATTTTTTGGTCGAATCCAACTAAAAAAAAAATTCATCAAACCAAAGGAATATTTTGTTACGTCAAAGAATTGTCTCAAATAAATTGTCATTATTCCAAAGAAATGTTGCTTCCGCTTCATTCCGAATTTATTTCAGTGATATAATTATTCTTTGAATTAACCAAATATATTCTTCGGCATTATTCAAAGAAATATTTCTTTTGTTCAATGAACTTATTTTTTTCAGTGCATAATACGAGAAAGCCATCCGTCCCTAATCGTTCTACTGGCTGAATTAAATAAATCTCATTAAAACGGAGTGAAATTCCTGTATCGCTTCGCCTCTAATTCATTTTTCTCTTATTTCACCGAAATAACACTCGACTATTTGTCCGGTCTTCTCTGACCGCGTCATAAGCTGAATTGAAAAACCCGCCTTAAAGTGTCTTCTGCAATGGGCTACTCGGAGGGTCATTTGTTTCTCATAAGTTTCGCCTTAAATCCAGCGATCCAGTGGGTTCTCATCCGATCGCAAACCCGAACCTGGCTACAGTTTTTCTCCTAAAATAAATAATCCTCAAAAAATAATGACACGTCTCTTTACGAAAATCCGCACACAGAGAAATAATTAATGTTCACAAGAGACAGTTTTAACCGCCCCAGGTTTTCCCCTAAAATAAATAATCCTCAAAAAATAATCGCACGTCTCTTTACGGAAATCCGCGTCCAGAAAAATAAATCATAATTACGATAACAAAATTTTACCCGCTAGAGTTTTTCCCCTAAAATAAATAATCCTCAAAAAATAATGGCGCGCCTTTTGATGAAAATCCGCACGGAGAAAAATAATTCTTAATCACGATAAAGAGTTTTACCCACTGGGAGTATCTCCCCCGAAATAAATAATCCTTAAAAAACAATAAAACGACTCTTTGCGAAAACCCGCACACGAGAAAATAATTCATGCTCACAAAGAGTTTTACCCAGTCAGGTGTGCAACCCGTGTAAATGAACCATCAAAGTATTCTTGCAGAAACATTCAATTGTTACAGAAATCACTACATATTATCCCGACAAAAATCCCAACACTGAGGAAAAGAAAATTGGTTGACTCAAAGAAACATGCATTGAAGAAATCTTAGTTGACCAGAAGATGTATCGATGACATATATTGTTGCCTGAATCATACATAACTGTAAGAAAAAATTATTCCATCAGGAAGAAAAATTGATGCTCTCGATTTAAACTAATTGTTGATTTAAAGTAATTTTATTTACTCAGTTCTACATTTTTTTTCGCAATTTCATCGAGTCAGCCAACTCTTCTTCTCATTGTGTACTAACACCTACATTCATTTATTCAAATCACTGCAAACATTTTCGCTGACACTGCCGATATCTCTCCAGTGACTGCAAAACATTATCGGCCATGTTATCATATGTTGGGAGTAGAGATGGCTTATTTTCTACGGAGGGAAAATTCGCGCTCCCCTGGACCCCCTCGGATGAATCCAGTCTCGGAGATGAGAGCGTACTCCCTCGAACGATGATCGCTCCCGATTCCCCGAATGTTGGAGAGCTCGGCTCGAAAAGCTGCGAGGAAT